TGTGCGTGCGTGCGTGCGTGCGTGCGTGCGTGCGTGTGTGTGTGTGTGGGTGTGTGTCAGTGTGTGAATGTGTGTGAATGTGTGTGTGTGTGAGTGTGTGTGTGAATGTGTGTGTGCGTGTGCGTGTGCGTGTGCGTGTGCGTGTGTTTGTGTGTGAATGTGTGTGAATGTGTGTGTGAGTGTGTGTGTGTGAATGTGTGTGTGTGCGCGCGCGTGTGTGTGTGTGTGTGTGTGTTTGTGTGTGTGTGTGTGTGTGCGTGCGTGCGTGCGTGCGTGCGTTTGTGTGTGTGCGCATGTATGTGTGTTTGTGTGTGTGTGCGTGTGCATGTGTGTGTGTGCGCGGGCGTGTGTGTGTGTGTGTGTGTGTGTCTAAAATTTCTTTGCATTTTCCCCATGGCGTGTCCAGGACGGCCCCACGCGGCTCCAGGTACTTCCACGATCGCGCTAAGGTGGCCCAAGAGGCCCCGACGAGCGCACCGAGACGGCCCCAGAGGGCCGCAAGGCAGCCCGAGACGTGCCCAGACGGCCTAACAGGGTCTCAAGTGTCCCCCAAGACAGCCCCAGGACGGCGCCACAGAGGGCCCAAAGCGGGCTCCCCGACGGCCCCAGAGAACCCCCCACCACGGCCCCACGATGGCCCAAGAGGCCCCCCCCCAGACGGCCCAAAACGGCGCTAAAATGGCCCAAGGGGGCTCCAAGAGCTGTTCAAGAAGGGATACCCCGAGGTGCTCTAGAGCCTCCCAACAGACCCCGACATTTGCCACGGAGCTCCCCAGAGAAGCTCCAGCCCCAGCACTTTTCGCCGTACCTGGACCCCCCGAAGGCCCACAGAAGCCCCAGACACCCAGAGAGGCCCCAGACCAGTCTTACATGCCCAGAACCCTTCAAAGGACTCAGATCGTTGCCAAGGACCTCCCAAGAGAGCCTCCAGGCAAATAATCGTTCGCCGATTCTGCAACCCCAATAGCCCCAGACACCCCCCCCAGCCCCAAACATGGTTCCAGAAAGTCCTTTTTCCATGTTCTCCACTCTTTATCCTCCTTCTCCTCCTCCTCCTCCTCCTCCTCCTCCTCCTCCTCCTCCTCCTCCTCCTCCTCCTCCTCCTCCCCTTCCCTCCTCATCATCCTCTTCATCCGTAGCCATTTGGGCCCAAGGTCTGGGTCTAGGCCTCCTGCCTCGCAGGTTTGCGCCACGCGTGGCAGCTTCTTGGGTCGCCAAAGACCCGCCCTGCTGTCACTTCTCTTGCGCCTGGCGCGCCTCTCCCTGTCCAGCTCCTGGGCGTCGCCAGTGGGCCTGCCCAGCGATGAGGTCATCGCCAAGTTCACCAGCGACCATGACGAGGCCGCTACTTTCCCCACCCAGGAAGCCATGGACGTTGCCGTCTCCTCCAAGGGTGCTTCACGTTCGGGCAAGGGTAGGTACTGCTCCTCCTCGTCCTGATGCTCCTGCTCCCCTTGCTCTCAAGCGTCGGGCCCTTCCGCCTGCTGGTGTGCCTGACGGTGAGGACCTCCCCCCGACCTCGGCGATGCTAGCGACGCGTCCGAGGCCTTCGTCAAGCAGTGCTGCGAAGATATCTCCCGCCCTATGCTGGGCCAGATGCGCGAGGCGTTGTCCCTTGACCTTGGAAGTTTCCCATCGATACGATCACCTCCAATCTATCTGAGTCTAACAAATCCCCCTGCACTGGTCGACCAGCTTCGTGCGCAGTTGGCCCGGCAGCCCGCTCAGATCGACCGGCAGATTCTCGCGACGGTGCTCCCCCAGGTCGATGCCCCGGCGAGGCGCTTGCAGCCCCAGCTCGACGACCACCAGAACCACATTCAGACTGCGTATGCGCGTGCATCTAAGGTGGAGGAAGTGATGGTTGCTATGCGTGAGCAGATGGCAGAGTTCAGGAAGTCCGCGTGCCTGGCGGAATCTCGGCCGCGCGCACCAGCGCTTCAAGACAAAGGCTTTGAGCGGGACGTCGACGCCACCATGGTTGTTGCTCTCGCCCAGCGGCCGACCACCACCAGCTCCGTCGCTGCAGTCGCGGCGCCGTGGATGACCTCCTTCGGGTTCGCTGCTGGCGCGTTCTCGGCTGAGAGATGCCGCATTCACGTGGGGCCTGACAAATCGCCGAGAGATTCGCAGTGAAATTCTGCTACGTCGCGCTCGTGCCTTGGTCTCTGAAGCTCATCCCCACCTTCGATTGTTCTCGGATCGTGAGAGAGCTACCTTGTCTGTGGGACGGGGCCGCAGCACACGCGCCCAGGCGCGCCCCGAAGCCCCTGCCGAGATCTTCTGGGACGCGCAGAAGCTCGAGAATAACCTCGTCAAGCAGGAGCTCGTCGACTTCCTCGCCGCGCAGGTGGCGCCTGAGTCTGAGCCCGCGCGATGTTTTTGATGCATGGAGGTTGTCCAGATGCACGTCGCCAGCATCTCGGTCGCCGCCCCCAGCATTACTCGAAAGCTGGGCGAGGCCGCTAGAACCGCGGCTGCTAAAGCGGCCCTCCCGGAAGGAAGAAAAGACTTCCTGGAACAAGGCGCGGCGCGCAAAACAGTCAACGGGCTTCTTCCCGGAAGGGCGAAGACACCTTCCCGGAGGTCGATTTTAGCAGCCGCGGATTAAGCGGCCCTTGCCCGGCTTCCGAATTACGAGTGGCAGCGTGGAGCGCGAGGGCCCACATGCAGCATGTTGGGGAGGGGCGCGGTAAAGTTCGGCTACATAATGAGGTTGCAAACGGCCGCTTCGATCGTTGGTTTGCAAGAAGTACGACAGGGTGGGCTTCAGCCGCGCGCGTTCTTGCAGCCCCACGGCCGCTCGCGCGACGGTTCGCTCGTCGTTTTGTGGAGACGCGGCTGAGGATCGCATTCGGGGTGGAGTTGCTATTCTTCTTCCTGAGTTTCAGCAGGTGGCTGGAGAACGCGCGCGCAGTCATGCGGTGGCTCTTGCATTTGGCAGAGTTTTGCACGTGCGTGCGAGATGTGACGAGGTGCGCCTCGACATCTTCGACGCGCGCAACCACGGGCTTTCACGAGCGGATGTGCGCGAGGTCGCTGCAGCTCGCGCCCCGTCACGGAGGCCCGCCATCGTGGCTGGGGAATTCAATTTCGCGGCGGAGGGGGCGGCGCTGCCCCGCGCGCCGCAGGCGGCGGTCCGCCGCGCTGCGAGACAGCACCATGCGCAGGCATCC